TATATATATATATATATATATATATATATATATATATATATATATATATATATAGAGAGAGAGAGAGAGAGAGAGAGACCTACCATGATTATAATTCCATGGCAATTATAATCCAATTAAAACAAGAAACCAAATTACTATGTCACCCCTATACATTAATTATGTTCTAGAGTTAATACCTGATTTGGTCACTCGACTATTAGAATTTTACCACTTTGGTCATCGACTTTCAAAATTGTCTAATTACATACTCGACTATGCAAATGTTAACCAAAACAATCCTCAATCTATTTTCCCATCTATTTCTACAGGTAAAATAGGAATTGACCGGAGGAGTCCGGCGCCATCGTTAGGGTCAACTGGCTAGAAATTCTCTGAAGGGAATCCGCAGATTGGACCAGAATCATTGTAACTGCAAATTCCCAAATTCCCACAATACTCAAAAACCTCGCTTTGATCAGTCAAAGCAGACCATCTCACAGTCTGATTTCCATTTCTCTTGGTAGAACTATAAATCCTGAGATTCTCATCCCCATCCAACTTCACAAATCTCATAATATCACCCTCGTCGGCATAAAAAAACAGTTCAAGGGGCTTGGAAGACCTAGGTCAAATAGTGATAGAATACCAACTAGGAGCATACGGAAACTAGGGGAACTCAAGTTCACATTAGCAGAAGAATTCAATCAAGAATTATAATAAGCAATAATATTATTCCACAAAAGCGTTAAATTCTCATTTCTCTCTAGCTTAAAAGAGTAATTCCCAGATTTTAAAGCTTTATTCAGAGTAAAATTTTGCGAAGGAACAATGGTGTCGGTGGGATTATCGAAAGTAGACCAAATATTTGAAATGGTGGCTTTTCCGAGAATGAGATTACCGGAGTCGTCAAGACGGGCGAAGGATACACCGCGGCTGCCGGTGTTGGAAGTCCAGATAATGGAGGGAGACGGTCCAGTGTCGGAGGTGAGTTGAAGGTCGCCGTTGGAGAGGAAGCGAAGAGTACCGGAGGAGTCAACGGCGCTGGAGTCCCCGCCAGCGTTCTAGATGGGTATTTTGGCGTCATTGACTCCTCAGCGGAGAGCATCGGAGGAGTCAATGGCACCGAAGTCCTCAGTCTAGAGTACCTGGATGTATAAGGTCTCGACCGTCTAGACTTGCAGCGGGGATCGATTGCGACGCCAAGTGGGAAGACCATCGGCGGAAAGGCGAGCAATCACCATCGGTGGCAATGTGATTCCAGCCCTTCGAAATCCTCCAAGAACGACGAGAAAGGCGATTTGATAGAGATTTTGCATTACGATTAGCTTTTAGGATGGGAGGAGCGGTTCTTTTTTATTATTTATTTTTTCTATAAATGAAGCCAAGAACCGAAGAACCGAGACGGCAAAGACAATGAAATTACATGTTTATCTTCAGTTTTAACGTTTGTCAAACGGCAGCTTAGGCTGAGGACTAACTCGGTCAGAAATTGCATAGTCGAAGATGCAATTGGACAATTTTAAAAGTCAAGGACCAAAGTGGTGAAATCCTCATAGTCGAGGGACCAAATCGATAATTAACTCTATATTCTAATTTAACTGAGAATTAAGAATAAATCTATACCCTTGACTAAAAATATTCAATGGATAGGATCTAATCTCAAAATCCCATATAGATAAGGTCAATCAATTTGAAGTTTAAGACTAAACATAAAAAAATCACTATACTCGGAAGATCCTAGATCATATTAACTCTTTTTTTGAAGCGTTACTCTACTACTTTGTTGGGAATATTGTTGTGCTACTTTGAGTACTATATTGCTCAATACTTTGCTGGATTTTGACAAACATTTTTGACATGTTTTGAATAAGGCTAAACTATGGTTGTGGTTGTACCAATCATTATTATTGTGTGGACCATGGTCCATACAAGTTGTTTGGACCATATTTTGTATACCGTAAAATAATGTATATTCAATACAAAAATAATGTACATTCAGTACAAAAATAATGTATATTTAGTATATTAAAAATGTAGTTTTTATTATGGTCCACATAACATTGTGTGGACCATGGTCCACACAATAATTTGCCGTGGTTGTACTAGCTAGTTTTAATTAGTAGTTCATTATTTTAGCGTTACTTTGGGTAAAATAAAACTAAAATTTAAATGATTAGGGATTCTATAAAATTCTAAAACATTTTACATGCATCATCAAGAATTATTAATAGAATCTTTCTTAATAAAATATTTCCTTGTCTCTTAAATTGAGTAAATTCACCTTTGTTTTACATGAAACCACCACTAAATGTATAATACGAGTATCAACTATCAACTCTTTACATTTTTATCAACAACTATTAGTGACACCCCCAAATTAAATATGGCTAAATATTTATTAATTAATTGTATTTATTTAACTAGTGACCTATAATTGTCATGAATTACTTATTTAGTGGTGGATTATTTTTCTAACTACTACAAATTATGTGCATTAGATTTTATTTTTTATTTTTTGAAATTTTTTGGGTACAAATAGCTTCTTTGTTTGTTTTTTTATTTTTTTTGTTTTGTTTTGTTTTTTTTTTCCTTTTTTGTTTTTGTTTTTGTTTTTGTTTTTGTTTTTTTTTTTTTATTTTTATTTTATTTTATGTTGGGTAGTGGATAGATTTTCACATGTGGGTTGCCAACCCTAGTTCAGAGGGAGGGTATGCCATAATACTAGGTTATATCGGACTTATCATGTGTCATACCAACCTATAAACATTGTGTTGTTGACTTGTTGCATCACAATTATATATTGATCTATCTATGCCAGTTTATGTTTTCTATTTTGATCAATCTATCTTTTCCACTTCAATTACATTTAAATAATTTTTTAAAAAAATGGTATAAATAATTTTTTTAATTTTTTTTGTATTTAATAAAATTTTTAATATGATTATATATATATATATATATATATATATATATATATATATATATATATATATATATATATATATATATATATATATATATATATATAGACACACACACACACACACAATTTATTTACTAATACTAAATCAAAGAGATCAGATCAAATTGAACTTCTATAATATCTTTTATTACAATATAATGCCTTTTTGCCAAATAATAATAATAATAATAATAATAATAATAATAATAATAATAATAATAATAATAATAATAATAATAATAATAATAATAGTGATAATAGTAATAGTAATAATAGTAATAATAGTAATAATAATAATAGTAATAATAGTAATAATAGTAATAATAATAATAATAATAATAGTAATAATAGTAGGATGTTTTTGTCTAACACATACTACTTTTGTATATGAGGAGTGTGTTATGCATTTTTTATGTTCGTGTCCATATGCTATCAATGTTTGGCATGTTTCTCAAATTCCTATCCCCTCTTTTAACAACAGGAGTTTCATGCAATGGACGGAGCTGTGGCTTGGAGGTGCAACAGGTTATGCTCGTGATATACAAGGTCAGATCTGTGGTTTGCTTCATGCCCTTTGGGCGGCTAGGAACTCGCCGGTTGGGAGGGTAGTATGCCGGTTCCGCAGTTGCTACTCCGGCTCAATCGGCGGCCTAGAAGGCCTGGGTGGATAGCGAGCAGCGACGGGTCACGGCTTGCGGAAGGCAGTCCGTGGCAGTTTTATCCCATCCCCCCATGCAGCAGCGGCTTTTCATTGTTATGTGGACGCTAGTTTCCACGGTTCACAACACACGGCTGCGTATGATTTTGTTGTTCAAGATAGTGACGCCACCTTTGTGGCGGCGGGAAATGGCCCATTGGCGTGTTCATATGATCCTCTCCTGGCGGAAGCAATGGCGATGTGTGAAGCCCTCTCTTGGTTAAAAGACAATGGATATTCTGATGGTAGAATTTACACGGACTCTTCAGTTTTGGTTTCGGGACTTAATTATGCTAGTTCTTTTCGCACTTATGTTGGTTATGTTTTATTGTCTTGTAATCGTTTAATTTCAGCTATGCCTGGAACATTAGTTTGTTTTATAAATAGGGATGCCAATCATGTGGCGCACACCCTATCGAAGCATGTAAGTGCGATAGCAGGACGCACATTATGAAGGGATGTACCTCCTTCTTTTATTGAACCCGTTGTGGCTAATGCAATCTGATTCTTTTAACTTTCAAAAAACATACTACTTTTCCTTTCTTTGTTTCTTTCTTTCTTTCATTCATTCATTCATTCATTCATTCTTTCTTTCTTTCTTTCTTTCTTTCTTTCTTTCTCAACTTAATTAATATGATAAAATAAACTTTCTTTCTTTCTTTCTCAACTTAATTAGTATGAAAAAAAAAAAAATCACACTTACCCCTAGGCCATTGGTTTAGTCACTGCTGGAAATCTCGCGTTTTCCGTCCAACAAATATTGGACGGAAAACGCAATATATTGGTCGGAAACGACGTTTCCGTCCAACATACCGACCAAAAGGAACATTCGGAAAAACCTCCGTGGGAAATTCCGTCCAACTACGATTTTTCGTCGGAAATAGCGTCCAACGAACAAAAAATGGACGGAAATTCCGGATAGAATCCCACCATTTTAAAACGTGGGAATTTCCGTCCAATTTTTTGTGTTGGTCGGAAGTTCTTACCAACGTTGGACGGAATATGAGCATATCATATTTTTGTGTTTTCCTTCCAATTGTTGGACGGAAATTCAGACGAACTGTTGAATGGAAATATCAAGTACTTAATGTTATAAATTTCCTTCCAACTGTTGGTAGGAAAATATTAAATCATATTAAATATTTTTATTATTTTTATATTATCATAATTTTATTTCTACCTATTATTATAAATTATATCATCAACAAATTAACAAACACACTAAATTTCAAATTGAATATATATATATTGGAAATTGTACATTTATTAATAAAACTTTCAAAAGTCTATACAAAGAGCCCAAAAGTGACTCCGCAAACTAACTCCAAATCTTACAACTAAGCTACTAAAATGGCACCAAGTAAATAAACAAAAGGGTCAGTAATAGGGGAATCAAGTCTCCCTTTGCACAGCTGAGTTTCAATCACATAAACATAAACCACCTGCAAGCCAAGTAAATAACATACAAGACTTCATTTCTGCAACTAAGCAATAGTGCAGATCAGTCACAAATCTAGGTTAGAGTCGCCTTATACTACCACTGTTCTAGGGGCCATATCCCCTCCAATCATCCTTCAATTATATCAAGAGCTCTGCCTAAGCTCCATCTCTACTATTCCTGCTGCAATCAGTTTCCAACAGCCTCATCCCTGTGGATCACAGCCCACAGGTCAGCATCATTATCAAACATCCAAGAGGAATCCTTTCCCAAGCATGAGATCAACCTCCCCAAAGCAGCATCCTCCATTTTTAAAGTCTTGAATGCTGCTGCAGTCTTCCAGAAAGCTCACTAGCTCAGTAACTGCCACTGTCACCAACCTCTCAGCAGAACCTGCAAAAAAACAAATTGTTGTTTTTGCCTTACCCCTTCCTTATACCACCCTCCACTCATCCCCAATGTTACTAGACTCACTCTCTCTCTTTTTCCACATGACCATGACAAGGTTCCTATCTGCAGCGACAGATCACCTTGTCATTCCAGCAGCACATAATACCTTTTGAAAATATATTTAAACATCAAAAACATTTACAACAAAAATATAGTCATATTCATAGTACTTCCAACAACATGCTATTTCCATACACCATAAACATGTTAGGAACACGAACAAGCATATACGAGTTTCTCCCATCAAAAAAAACATGTGCTAACTTAATGACTTCATAACAAAAGAGAGGCTAGCTAGCACTGTCCAAAAAAACTTAAACCTACCTTTACTAACTACTAGGTTAGGGAGTTATATTGTGCTTAACCACTAAAAACTACATAGCAGTAAGAACATTACCATACACCAACAAAAAGTCATGAAAATATATACCGCTTAATCTTCATCAATAGGTGCTTGTGTTTCATCATTGGTTGAAGTAGAGTTGTTTAGATTCATGGAGGCTAACCATTCAGAATTTGGACTGAACTGTGAAAATATAGCACCCATCTTATCAACCTGCTCCCGGAACATCTTGTTCTCTTCCCTAAACATCTTGTTCTCTTCCCACATTTGTTGAATTTCTGCTATCAAAGCTGCATTGGAAGATGACACTCCTGATTTAGAATTTGATACCCTTGAAGCCTCCGGGAAGTAATGTTGAGTAACTGAGCCAAACCCATATACATAGCCTCCTCTCTTTACACCGCCGGTTGCCTCCAACCACAACTGTGCATTCGATACATCAGGCTGAGTTTGTTGTAAATCATTTGCTGTATCCTATAGAATAAGACAAAGCATGTTCACCTACTAAAATAATTTCATGTGATAATTAGAATAAAAGTAATAAGAATAATATTTCTTACAACAACTTTCTGTGCTTTTCTACAAACATATGCTCCATTTCCATTTTTGCGCTTATGAGTGTGTTCATACAAGGCTGCATGACTTGGATCTTCTCCCAACTTTTCTTTCTATTCAAGAACAATATACAAAATACACAACATACTCAGTATAATATTATAGGATAAACTATATTAATTATTTTCAAACTTAATTGTTAGATGAATAAGGGTTGTTAGAGTTATATTAATTATTTTCAAACTTACTATTACAGAATTTTGAATCGTATGGCTAGTAGTCTTTCAACCTATGTATAAATAGTCCTTCTACTTGTACAGCAATATATGAAATACACATACTGTTCTGGTATTCCAACACTTAACACTTACCAATCTTCTACGATGCTCAGTCATTGGAATAGAACCACAACTATGAAGTGATGCACCTAGTCCGCCGCAGTCTGAATTTTTATTCTTCTTGTTTTTTTCGGAGAGCTTTTTGAACTCCTCACTCTCCCAAATGCGAATTAAGCCAGCCATCACGTCATCTGAAATCCAGTTTGGTTTGGTTCTATTTTTTGCCAAGCCCTCACGAGCTTCTCGAAGATGGTCTGAAAGCAACTTTGCACCTTTTTTTTGAAAGATGCGGCGAACAGTATCCTCCTCCAATGGATCCCAACGATGCTTTTTCTATTGACAATCAAAATAAATTCAAATTCATGAATGTTTTGTAAATTCTGCAATTCAGTCACAAAAAGAAGTGATTTCACATTCAATTACTTACCCTAAACTCATTAAACCACACATCTTTCAAATGTTGAGGAGCATACTTAAATGATTTTATTGGCTGTGTGAACATCCGTTGTATACAAAGTATGATCTCACGGTGTGCTGTATGAGGCTCAAATCTGGATTATCATGCAAAACGAATAGCAAAAAAGAATAACAAAAAAGAATTACAATTATTGGACTGCATAATCACTTTCCTAATGCATGTAAACAATTTATTAAAATCCATCATACTAGTTAGCTAAATAATTGCAGCAAAAATCATAAATTAAATTAAATGAAGTCTTACGCAGCTCCGCCAACTGTGCGAATAAAAGTTGTAAATCGGTCTGATGGAATCGTTCTTGGCGGTGAATCTGTTGGCATACCCTCTCCTCCACCTAAAGCAGCTTCATCAATACGCACCGAAGCTGCATCAGAAGTATGCTCGCTAGGCTCTTCAGTAGTATGCTCTATGGGCCTTGAACTTGAGGGAGTACGCTCAGAGTTAGTGTCCTCCGACCCTCTATGGACTTGATTAGGTGGTGTTTCCATTACAGCTGTACTTCCTTCTTCCGGATCATTAATTGATGCATGCAACGATGGCGGTTGTGAGATGCCAGCTTCTGAATGACTACCCGTAACTGTTTTACCTTTACCTCTATTTCTTTTACGTTGGTGTGACATCTAAACAATAGTAAAGTGATCAACAAAGAAAATATGAGTTATGAATAATGGAACTTCAAGCATAAATTATACCCAATTTGCAAACCTTGACAGCCACTTCTTGATGATCTCTCAACACAACATGGTTTACTTGAGCAATAGAGGCAGCTGCAAATGGTTCCTCTTCATACAACTTTGCTGGCACATTCATATTAGAAGATTAAACATCCCAAAAAAAAGGTAACATTACTTGATTTATTTTTATTTGTTGAATCTATCTTAAATAATTAAATATTAGCTGATTAATCTATCTTAATTTCAATACAAAACTTCCAATTTCACTAACATTACAGTAATGTTATGCTTAATTACAGTAACCAATTCACTTAGGCTTAATTTCACTAACATTACAGTAATTAGTTAGGCTTAATTTCACTAACCAATTCACTTAGGCTTAATTTCACTAACATTGCAGTAATGTTATGCTTAATTAGAGTAATAGTTAGGCTTTATTTCACTACAAAAATTCCAATTTCAATACAAAACTTTCAATTTAACATTACAGTAATTAGTTAGGCTTAATTTCACTAACCAATTCACTTAGGCTTAATTTCACTAACATTACAGTAATGCTATGCTTAATTAGAGTAATAGTTAGGCTTAATTTCAATACAAAACTTTCAATTTAATATGGCAGTAATTAGATAGGATTAATTTCACTAACTAATTCACTTAGGATTAATTTCACTAACCAATTCACTTACAGTGTGCACTATCTGTAGAAGTTTCGCTACTCCAGGCAGAAATTTTCTATGCCTTCTTAGTGTCTGTGTAGGCGTGTGTGTATATGAAGCAGAAATTTTTGAAAGTGTAGAGATTTCAAAAAATAAAGCAAGGCATTATAGGGAGGAGGCACTACGTAAAGCGAAATTAAAGCGGAAAAAAGGGTTGTTGTGACTGAAATTAAAGCGGAAAAAGGGGTGTTGTGACTGAAATTAAAGCGGAAATAGTATATATAAACTGAAATTGAAGCGGAAAAAAAGGGGAAGGAGGCATTACCGGAGATTTCACAACACCAAACAGCAACGTTGTGACCGCGGTAGGCTCGTATACATACAGATTTGGCGGTAGAAGGCTAGGGTTCTTCTTCCCTTCTGGCAGACAACGAAGCAGCAGATGAGGCTCAGATCGACTGGCACGAGGATACGGTGGTTGTGCACTACGGTCGCAAATCGTGGCGGAACATGACGGTGGTGGCACTCAGTTCGCAGGAGTTTTCGCCAGAGAGACTCAAAGTGGCATTGAGAGTATGACTGTCGATAAGAGAGACTGAAAGAGGGTATCTAAAAAATTTTCTTTTTCCCACCAAGAGTTCCCGCTTCTCTATTTCCACTATTTTTTTTTTTTCGCTTATTGACTTATACATATATAAAATAAATATTCACAATATAAGCATAACACATTATCTCATCAAATAACAAAATTAAAAAAAAAAATAAAAAAAAATAAAAACCACAACACCATTCAGTCATCTTCTTCACTATCTCTATTAAATTCAACATTCTCTCCATCCTCATTCTCACTATCTTCATAAACAACTTCATCATCTTGCTCAGATTCTTCACTCTCATCCTCTATTTCATAGTGGTCATCTACTCCTTGCGTACTTCCAATTGGGTTAACTTCAACTTCATCCAAAACTACTGGATTGTGCAGTAAATCATCACCACCCTCTTGATCTAAACCCACATCATATGTTGGCATAGGTATGCCATCATATTGATAACTCTCAATGTGCTTATAAGCATTATCAATTGTTCCTCTTGGTCGGACATTTAAAACAATCCACCAATTCAATTTTTCTCTTATACCTCTAGGGTATGGAATATAACACACTTGACATGCATTTTGTGCAATTATAAAAGGATCATACTTTTTATAATGTCTCCTACAATACACCTCCACAAGACCACTGTCAAAATCCAATTTGGTACCTGTATTTGGAGTTGGGTCAAACCATTCACAATTAAACAACACCACTCTTTTCAATGGAATATTTGGGTACTCAATTTCAACAATCTCTTTCAAAGTGCCGAAGAAAAATGATTCATCATGTGACAAACTTGTCCCCTTTATGGACACTCCAAAATTGTTTGTTGACTTTCGAACACAATGTTCTTCAGTTTGAAACTTAAAACCATTAACAACATACCCATTATATGTAGTAGCTTGCAGTAGTGGGCCGCATGCCAAATCAATCAACGATTGGTTACAAATATTATTTCCAGGATTGTAAACCTGCAATGTTAATAGCTAAAATTAGTTAATTGCATATGTGAATTACAAAAAACAAAAATATAAGGATATTATTCTTATAATATTACATAATCTTTAAACCAGCTTGCAAAATTCTTTTCGACTTCATTATCAATGTCTTCATCAGTGACACCTGGATTGTACTGCCGTAAACCTGTCTCATACAACCTACAAAGAAAACAATTGTAAAATGTCCAATACAAACAATGCATTTAAATAAAGGCATAGTGCATACCTTAAATGTCCAATACAAACAATGCATTTAAATAAAGGCATAGTGCATACCTTAAAATTGGTTGAACCTCTTCACAGTTAAGCAATATATATTGATGAGCTGCGAATCTCTCTTTAGTGTCCAAATATCTTTGACCTTTCGCGCCGATTGGACGGCCTGGTCGATTAAAAACTGATAAAGTTCTTGGCAAGTTAGGGTCAATTCCACCATCGTTCAAATTTCTACCAATCTGTGTCCTCCTACTTTGCACATTATCTTCAAAGTAAAATGATGCAAAATGTGTTGTCTCTTCAATCAAGTATGCATCACATATCGACCCTTCAACATATCTCTTATTCTTCATTTTAGATTTGAGATGGTTAATGAACCTTTCAAATGGATACATCCAACGATATTGGACTGGTCCACCGAGACGTGCTTCATTAGCCAAGTGTACAGGTAAATGCTCCATGCAATCAAACATCGATGGGGGGAAAATACGCTCTAACATACAGAGTATAAGGACAATGGTGTTATTCATTTCATTCAACGTGTCAACCCTGAGAGAAGTTGAGCATAGATCTCGAAAAAATCTGCTTAACTCAACTAAAGCCTTCCAATGTGATTTTGGTAAAAATATAAAGGCACTTGGCAGAAGACACTGCATAAAAATGTGACAATCATGACTTTTCATCCCACACAATTTTGAACATGTTGAATCAACACAGTTACTTATATTTGAAGAAAAGCCATCAGGTAATTTTAGAGTTCTTAACCACTCATACACAACTGTCTGCTGATCTCGGCTCAAACTGTAACTCGCCTTTGGCATAAGATATCGACCATTATGTTCCACCAATTCGAGTTGTGGTCTATGACATATCTCTTTTATATCCAAACGAGCAGCAGGCGTGTCTTTGTTTTTTCTAGTTCCTTTAACATCCATAGCTGTGTAGAAGATGTTATCAAACACATTCTTCTCTATATGCATGACATCAAGGTTGTGACGGAGGAGGTTATCTTTCCAATATGGTAAATCCCAGAATATACTTCTTTTCTTCCAATTATGTGAACATCCAAACCCTTCAAGTCGACCAATTGGCCCATCAGTAATTTTTGGCAACATCTCAATAGTAGGCAACAACTCTTCCCCTGTCAAAATCCTTGGGGGTCTTGATTTCTCTACCCGATGTTTTAAGAAGGAATCACGATTTTTTCTAAAAGGGTGATCCATTGGAAGAAATTGTCGATGACAATCAAACCAACATGTTTTACGCCCATTCTTTAAATAGAAAGATTTAGTATAATGAGTGCAATAAGGGCATGCTAGTTTTCCTGCTGTTTGCCATCCAGATAACATACCATAGGCAGGAAAGTCATTGATGGTCCACATCAACATAGCTCGCATCATAAAGTTTTGCTTTAACGAGACATCATAAGTTAGAACCCCTGTATCCCATAGCAACTGAAGCTCATCAATTAAAGGTTGCAGATAGACATCAATATTCGCCTTTGGGTTGTGTTCCCCGGGAATAATACAAGTTAAGAATATATACGGGGTAGTCATGCACATTGATGGTGGAAGATTATATGGAACAACCATAACCGGCCAACAAGAATATGATTTAGCATTTAAACCAAAAGGACAAAACCCGTCAGCACACAAACCTAGTCTTACATTCCGAGGATCTGCTGCAAAGTCGGGATACTGAGTATCAAAGTGTTTCCACGCTTCACCATCTGAAGGATGACACATAATACCTGGTTGACGGCGATTTTCATAATGCCACCTCATGTGCTCAGCAGAACTTTGTGATGCATACAATCGTTGCAATCTAGGGATGAGAGGCAAGTAATGCATCCTTTTCTTAGGAACTTCTTTCCCACGAGCACAAGTAGGCGGTCGTGGTTTAAACCGAGCCTCGCCACAAAACTTACAATGTCGCTCATTGATATCAGACTTATAGTACAACATACAACTATTAACACAACAATCAATCTTTTCATGATCAAGCCCCAGCTTTGAAATCAATTTCTCTGAATCATAATAACTAAATGGCACTCGATTATTTGGACCCATTATATGCTTATTGTACTCAAATATTTGATCCATTGCTAGCTGTGGAATGTTAAAAGTGGCCTTTATATTCATCATCTTCAATGCATATGACAACTCTGTTTCTTCAACACAACCGGGTGACAAAGGTTGTCTAGCCGTGTTTAATAAATCATAAAAGTTTTGTGCACTTGTATGTGGCTCTTCTTCTTGGTTATTTTCCACATGAAATGGAATAAATGATGAACCACCTACATCAAACACCATTGCTTCATATTGATTATTTTCGTTACGTGTCTCCAAAACTCGCTCGTTTACTGTAGGAATAGGTTCACCATGACAAGTCCATACCCAATAATACGGTTCAAATCCTTTCTTATACAAGTGAACACGGACATCATCAGTAGATAAGTGTACTCTATTCTTGCATTTACTACATGGACACCTAATTGTATTTGTCAACTCGTATACAGAAAGCGTACATGCATACTTAACAAATTGCTCAACACCAGCTAAAAACTCATTACTGATTCCCCTCTTTCCAGGTAACAATCGATTATACATCCATTTTCGATGTTCTGGTATACTTTCCATATATACCTAGTATTAAAGTACAAATATCTCAAAATCACAAATATATATAATAAAAACATTTAATCTATATATTAGTAACACTACACCACCATATTAATTTTGAAGCTATAATATATATATATATATATATATATATATATATATATATATATATATATATATATATATATATATATATATATATATTTTGAAGCTTCTAAATTAACATGCTTTTGGATAATTATTACAATACAACTTCAATTCCATATATAATTGATTAATATAATCTAATAATTATTACAAATTTTATTATATAATGTTAGTTTGTTAGAAACGTACAGTTAAATATTATTTAATCTAAAAATGATTAGGAAACTAGAGAACTAATAATTAATTAATATTAATCCATATATATATATATATATATATAAATCAATTAAAATAAATACAATCATGATAAAAAAATAATAATAATAATAGCATTGCAAGAGTATATATATCCATTTAAAAAAATATAAACACAAATTAAAAGCTATTATACCCAAAATATACCTGAATTTGGAATATACTTCGTTGGAAATCACTCTTTATGTTGTTAAGTACCCATGAAGAAGCAAGAGAAGAGAGTAATGAAGAAGAAAGTTGAAAAAAAGTGAGAAGAAATACGCAGGGCAGATATGAATACTGTTATTTCCGTCCAACGTTGTTGTTGGACGGAAAAATACCTACCAACATTTACTTCTCACCTACCCGTCAATTCAAATTTACTGACCATTAATATATGTTGGACGGAATTTCCGTCCAACATCAAGGTAGGACGGAAATCCCGTCCAACTTTCCGTCCACACAACTTCATTGGCGTAAAGTCGAGATTTTTATTACATTACCGTCCAACATTAATGTTGGACGGAAATGTTGGACGGAAAACGCGAGATTTCCAGCAGTGAGTTAATTATAAATTTCACATAAACTTACTTCTAGCGGTACGGTGGGGTTCGATCTATGTCACAAATATTGAGGGTTTGGTGTACACTCATTTTACACATAAGTGTACAGTTCTATGTTGAGTTTTGAAACGAATTCGCTCGCGATTGACGACGAAATTGAGAAATCTAGGTTATCAATATATATATATATATATATATATATATATATATATATATATATATATATTAAAACTTTTTTTTTTTTGAGAAAGAAGCGTTGTAATAAAAAGGCATTGTAGAAAATTAGATAATTTGGGAGAAAAAGAAAAATAGATTATTTGAAATTAAATTAGTATAGATAATTCAAGTCAATTTTGGTTAATAATTAAAATTGGACAAATAGAATAACGCATGTCATTATTGATAATTCTCACATTCCTTTGTAAAATTCAAAAGCCACTTTCCAAGTACACAACTTAGACTTCTGGCATCAGCATGATTAGTAGATGAGCTCTTAAAAAGTGTTGAATCAAATGATTTGTAAGCCAACAAAGAAAAGAACATAGGTTATCTCAAAAATAATCATTAATTAATTAACATGATGAAAATAATCCTAGCGTTTTTATTTTATTGTTCCCAAAAGATTAAATCTTCAACTCCAATGGCCTCCCACACCCCGGTCTAATAGAATATCTAGAAAGATGTAAATCATTGTAACTCAACTGAACACAGAGGTAAGATCTTTAATTTGCTTACTACGCACAAGGAGCCTCTCTCACTTTGAGAGATTGCTCCTACATTGTTGCTGATGAGACTCGATCTTGATTCATTGTTTCTAAATTTTATCCATGTAACCAACTGAGCTATCCATGCGGGCAACATTTTTGTTTCATTCTTCCAAAAGGTTGAACCCCAACCCTAAGGGCACCCCACACCCCGGCCCGACTGAGCATTTGGGCAATCATTATATCCTACACCACGGCGCACATAGCACTGTGCGCCGCGCGCCTCCCAAAACGACGTCGTTTTGGGGTAGTGTTGGGAGGCGCGGTAGGAAGTTGCTGAGATTATGTGTATTTGTTCACAACGTTATGTGTATTTGTTCACAACGTTATGTGTATTGGTTCATACAGTTATGTGTATTTTTTATACAATTATGTACATTCTTTTTATACAATTATGTACATCCGAATCAGAAAATTTGTGTGTATTATGTTAAGAGTTGATGTGTATTATGTTAAAAGTTTATGTTTATTATGTATTATGTTAGATTATGTGTATTATCTTTTAAAAAGAGTATGTATATTTTGTTATATAATTATGTACATTCATGTATAACATTATGTGTATTCTAGTATAACATTATGTACATTCTTGAACAGCGGGTTTTTTTTAAGAAAAAACTACTGCCATTCACTGGGGCGGGAAATTTCAAAAAAAAATAATAATTAAAACGACGTCGTTTTGCATCTGGGCGCATAGTGCAACGCGCGCCGTGGTGTAGGATATAAATTGCCGCATTTGGGAGGCAATACTTTTGTTTCATTCTTTTAAAAGGTTGAATCTCAACCCTAAGGGCCCCCAACACCCCGACCCGACAGAAACATTTGGGAGGATGTAAATTATGGTAACTCAACTGAACATGAACCACAGAGGCTAGACATTTTTGTTTCATTCTGCTATGAATGGTGGTACTCAAAAGAGGCATGCAAAAAATAATAGACAACCGAAGATGGATAATATCAAAAGAGCCATGAAAGAAGAATAGACGACCGAAGAGGCATGATCCATCAATCAAGCTTGTTGATGATAACCTCTAAATTAATTAATTGAAATAAAAAAAAATTAACTATTGTTTATCAACCCCAACGGCGCAACATATATAATGATATGGGGAAGGTATTATTATATTATGATTTTTTTTATTTGAATGACATTGAAAATCTGTCGCTACTATTTAAGGTTGTACAAGATAAATTTTATTTTTGTGCGTGATTATGCACATGTAAATTACAATAAAAGAGATGTAAAATGCACTAGGAATATCAAGTGTGACGGGCTTGACCGAGAAGGTTTTGACTACAATCAAATTGGTAATCTTCTTATACACAAGAATCATGCTTCATTCACTCAATTAACTACCCCTTTTGGAGCTATTATGAACTCTTTTGACTTTTGATTCCACAACTATTATGTTATTTTTACATTTGATTCTCAAATATTATTTTGTCACATTCATTGTATGACTTCAATTTCCACTTCTTTTTTTTTTTTCACATTCATTGTATGACTTTCATTTTCACTTTTTGTTTGTCACATTTAATCGTTCTTACAAAATCTAGAGCAGAAAACAACTAAAATAGATAGGGTCAATTTGAAAGTTTAGAACTAAACATGACAAAATCACTATATTCGGGTCAATTTTTGTTGTACTCTACTACTTTGTTAGGAATATTGTTGTGCTACGTTGAGTACTATATTGCTCTATACTTTGCCGGATTTTGACAGACTTTTTTGACATGTTTTAAATAAGACTATAATATGGTTGTGGTTGTACTAGCTAGTTTTAATTAGTAGTTCATTATTTTAGTGTTACTTTTGGCAAAATAAAACTCAACTCTTTTTAGAACACAAATAAAACTCAACTTAATTTAAATGATTAGGGGTTATAGTAAAATCCTAATACATTTTACATGCATCATAAGGAATTATTAATTTATACAATCTTTCCTAATAAAATATTTTCTTGTCTCCGAAATTCACCTTTGTTTTACATGAAGCTGCCAATGTATACGAGGTATCAACTATCAACTCTTTACATTTTTACCAGCAACTATTAGTGACATCCCAATATTAAATGTCGCTAAATATTTATTAATTAATTGTATTTGTTTAACTAGTGACAGTTATTATAATTGTCATGAATTACTTATTTAGTGGTGAATTTTTATTTTTTTTTTAAATTTATTGGGTAGAAATAGCTTCTTCTTTAATTTGTTTTATGTTTTTGTTTTTGTTTTTGTTTTTATTTTTATTTTTATTTTTGTTTTGTTTTGTTTTTTATTTTTATTTTTTTTTATTTTTTTATTTTTTATTTTTTTTAATGTTGGGTAGGGGATAGATTTTCATATTTGGGTGGCCAACCCTAGTTCAGATGGAGGGTATGCCATAATACTTAGTTATATCGGACTCATCATGTGTTATACCAGCCTATATTTATTGTGTTGTTCATTTGTTGCATCACAATTATATATTGTTCTATCTATGCCAATTTATGTTTTCTATTTTGATCAATCTCACTTTTCCACTTCAATTACTTTTAAATAATTTTTGAATTTTTTTTTTGGTAAAAATAATTTTTTAAGTTAAATTTTTTGTATTCAATAAATTTTTTAAATATGATTATATACACACACACAATTTATTTACTAATACTAAATCAAAGAGATCGAATTGAACTTCTATAATATCTTTTATTACAATATAATGCCTTTTTTGCCAAACAACAACAACAACAACAACAACAACAACAACAACAACAACAACAACAACAACAACAACAACAACAATAATAATAATAATAATAATAATAATAATAATAATAATAATAATAATAATAATAATAATAATAATAATAATAGTAGTAGTAGGATGTTTTTGTCAACACATACTACTTTTTCTTTGTTTCTTTCTTTCTCAACTTAATTAATATGATTAAAAAAATGATACTTTTTCTCCCTGAGTTCTGTTCTCATAACAGTTTTTCCCCTTGAGTTATCCATGTATCCACATTTGTCCCATCAGTTATGTTACGTTAACAATGGTGATTTTCCCCCTGTATTATTAAATGAACATTTTTACCCTTAAAATAAGTATTTCATTTATTTTTCTTCTCAAACATATTATTGCTTATATGTATGGATGACCATAGTTCGGTTCGAACCTAACTGTACACTGTAGCAACCGAAACGAAATAGTAAAGACAATTCTGGTTTACGATTCAGAACCGAAAAAAAATAAAATGAAATAAAATAATTGTGGAATTAGATTAAATGTATATATTTAATTAATTATAATTTTTATCTATCAATAAAT